AGTGCACCGCAACTGCACTCTCCACCTGGGGAATGTCAACGTACCCCCTAGCCGCCCCGCCATCGAGGGTAGTGAGGATGGAGGAGGCAGACAAGTGGCTTTTCAGATGAAAAAGAGGCTGTCCACGACTTCATCAGCTCCTCATGCCCCTCCAGGAAGAACGGAACCAGGGCAGGGTGTGGTCGCGAGCCACAGCCCATGTCGAGGAACCATTCATCCCGCCGCAAGGGCTCGGGACTGGGGAGGTGTGCAGGCCTCCAGCCCGATGCTCACGCGGCCCGTGAAAGCATGGCCGTCAACTCTGAATCCGATTCGGCGGTGGCAACAACACCCAAGGCATCCCCCGATGCTGCAATCGACATCTGATCATCTATCGGCGCGCCGAATGAAACGCTGGGCACGCTGTCAGACGGCACAGCAGAATCACCAGGGAGCCGCACAGAACATCTGCTGCGGGAGGAGTGAGAGGTCCGCGGGGACTGATCCGGCGGAGAGGCTCTCGCTGTAGCCCTCAGATCGCCCAGAGGGCCGACGGTTCTCTGCTCGTGGCAGAGAAGCCAGCGCGGGTAGTGACAGAGGGAGCCCCTCCCATCCCCGTGGGGAGAGAGGGGCGCGATTGCAGCGCTGCCATGGCTACACGCTCACAGTTAACGCATGAACCATCTACGAACGCAGCTCCAGCGTGCTGGATGCCCAGACACCGAAGACAACAATCGTGGACGTCGACGGAGGATAGGAAACAACCGCAACCAAGAGGACACAGACAGAACGCCGTCTTTAAAAAGACAAGAGCTGTCCGTGATCAGAAACTGCTCTTTTAGATGAAGCACCCAGGGTAATTGCTGAATTAAAAGGGACGCCGCTGATTGTGCCGTAACACCACCCAGAACAGCCTCTTCCAGCAGCAGAGAGAATTCGCCTGGTGTATCTCGAACTGTGTTCATTCACTCGGCTCCGAAGCAAAAATCTGATGAGTGGATGCACCTGTCGCCTATTTATACCCATATGCACGGGGAGTGGCTCAGGTATGCAAAACGCACTAGCCAAATTTCATTGGCGTTTTCTCTTAATCAGAGAGGATTCGGGCTCCCAAGTAAGACCCCATATGACATAACTCGTAGTGACCGACAGATAGGGAATAATAGTTCCACCTTAAAAATCCATCTACATCCCACAGAGGATCTAAACTGAGGCATTTAATAGAGGCAGAATCAAATTGACATTGGTTAATTAGCAGCTAATGCGTTAAAAATGTGTGGCTTAAACACACATACGCAGGACAGGTTAATTCCTTCATTCGTCAGTTTTTCTCTAAAAGTAATTACACTGATATCTAAACTACGACTGTGCTATCCCATCCCCATTATTAACAAAAGCTCCTAGATAATGCACTTCTACTCATTCAGTAGACCCTTCTCAGAGACTATATATCATAAAAAGAGCTTTAAAGTGTTAATTTGGCTGACACGGAACACACATTGTTAAAATAGGATGAGTTACTAAGGGCTGATCACAGGCTATTTGAAGTAGGGGGATGCCAACATCTCCATTTGAAAACAATGGCCCTAATTGTTTTATTTCAGTCTATTAATCTTAAACAGTCCCATAGAAGAAAGGATTTCTCCAGTGATGAATAGTGGGACATTCCAATTCCCACTTAATAGCAATTAATTTTCTGATAGCCATGCAAGTTTGGCTAGTTTTAATTAGTTTGTGAGGAATGGGGAAGCCGGTGACAGGATGACCTATGCTGATGACACTCAACTCTACCTCTCATTCCATCCTGATGATCCGACGATAGCTGTTCGCATCTCTGCTTGTCTAACAGACATTTCTTGCTGGATGAAGGACCATTAAGGGAAGCCGGTGACAGGATGACTAAATGCATTCTCATCAAAGACTAACAGGCCAGTCCACCTGACCTCTCTTCGAATCACTGTGCCTTTAATTTCCTATTTACACTTCAAAATAACTCATTTGCATACATCCTGTGCACACTTACCCCCCTTTTTGAAAACATTAAGACAATGGAACAATTTAACCAGTTTAATTAATTGGAAATGGTTTAGAAGGAAAGATTTGCAATTTGTTCCTTATATATTATATAGCATTATATACAGTATATATATATATAAGGAACAAATTGCAAATCTTTCCTTCTAAACAATTTGCAATTAATTTGCGTTCTGCAAGTGAACGTCGCTTTATTGTGCCATCCCAAAGAAGCACACAATCACTTTTATGAACTTTTAAATTAAATGTTCCCTCCTGGTGGAATGTCCTGCCCAACTCTTTTAAGAAATTAAAGCCCCTTTTAGACTTGCACTCTGTTTATTTACTAACTACTTGTTTTCTTTAAAAAAAAAAAAAAATGAACACTTGCTTTCTAATCTTTTTGTATTCTATCTGTTTTCTTTTCATTTATTATACAGTTAACAAAAGCAAAAAAGAACTCGAACACTAGCTTGCTCTATTCGTTTTCTATTCTATACGTTTTCTTTTTATTTATTATATTATTTAAAAAAAAAAAACTTGCTAAGTCTTTATCAATTTTTATCCATTCAACATCCTTGCTGAATAAAAGCATTAATTTCCTTTTTTTATTTACATTTTTTAAAATTGACTGATCCCAAACTTTTCAATAGTAGTGTATATTGTAACACAAAATTTATATTTTGAATAAACACTGTTCTTTTTAACTTTTTGTTTTTTTTAAAGAATCTTGAAAGAAGTATCACAGGTCCCAAAAAATATCAAACAGCACAACTGTTTCCAACTGTGATAATAATTCAGCATATTGGAATGATTTCTGAAGGATCATGTAGTTTTTTGCTTTTTTGAATGGTTAAGGTTCTGGGTATTAATAGTCCCAGCCTACTGTAAATTTGCCACTCTGATAGGTGATGGTAGACATCAAAAAAGTGTAAGCAAGTGGAGAACTTACTTTCCATAGCCTGTAGGTACTCCATATGCAGGGCACTGCTTGTAGGCCCTGTTGCGGATGCCACTGAGGGAATGATGTCAGCGTACGGGCTGCGGTGACCTGCAAGCAGGGCCATTTGGTGGTAGTACTCCGCCGTGGTCAAACTGGCGTGGGGTGCTGAAGGGTCAAACAATGAAATAAAAGATCAGTCATTTGACAAATAGACCACTGTTCAAAAGTTTTGGATCAGTAAGATTTAAAAAAAAAAAAAAAAAAAAACTTAAATGAATCATTTTATTTAGCAAGGATGAAATAAATTAGATTTCATAAGATACGTCTTATAAAAACATTAAAAGATATTACCCCAAACTTTTGAATGCTAGTAAAGAAATACATGCGTACCTGCATTTTACTACAAATCTTGAATAATCTTGAATAACGGACCTTTTTTAATTTCTTAAACTTGTGAATCAATGGTTTCGACTTGAGAAGACTTGGAATATAGTGCACGAGTCTGGACTTGTGGAGTACTGGAGTCTGGTGTATGGACTATTTTTTTTTATAATACTTTTATAGTGCTTTTTTTCCCTTATTAGAGCTTGACAACTTCAGGTCCCACTTTCATTATATGGATGAGAGAGCCTGGACATTTTGCCAAGTATCTTCTTTTCTGTTTCACAGAAGAAAGAAAGTTATATGAGTGTAACTAATTAACCATTTTAATTTTAGGGAAAAAGAAGGCAGAATTTTAGATGTGAACAATTAAAATTGCCTTTCTCTCTGATTTGTTCTGTCTCTCTTTCATGTGTTGCCTCTATCTTCCTCCCACACTTTAGCAACAGAGTGATAACAGGTCCTAGAAATGCATCCTAAAAATAAACTTTTGGCAACATGCTTTTCTATGCAAACAACACAATTGAGAAAGCACACTCACAAACACACACATACACACACACACACACACAAAGAGAAAAAGAATAAGAGAAAGACTGACACAGTGCTTCTCAATGCAAATACAAAATCATTTTAGCTGCACAAAGTGTTGTGGCTAAATCCTGTCTTCCCCAGAAGAAATGAACAGAGCGGATGAAAGGATCTCAACTGAGGCCCGAACTGAATGCATGGAATATGCATCTCTGATTGGTTGTGTGAATGTAAGAAGAAATTCCAAATTAATTCGATGTGGGTATTATGACTTAAGTAGTGAGGGAGGGGTTAGGGGGGCTTCCTTAATTGTCTCTGTTGTTCCGTCTTGCCTTGGCTCTTGCATTAAACTGTAATGTGCCTCATTTCCCGTTCACATGTAGAAAAAAGCTTTGTGGAATTTCTAAATGGGAGATGTTGGCATTGAACTGATGGACTGGTGGTGGGGAATGGCAGGGGTAATTTTTAAGGATGAATATGCACCCTCAGTATGGTGCACCACCAGAGCCAGCAGGCATTCTGCTGGTGGAGCATGTTGGCATCTGTGAGATTACAAAAAAACGTGTTTCAAAAGAGGGTTGGAAAGCAAGCAGAAAAAAATTATAAAGCGAAAGAGCAATAAAACTCCCACCGATGTTTGGTTATTATTTCCACTAACATAAACTGGTGGCTGCATATGGAATGCAAAATGTTATTAATAATTATTGTTTCAGAATATATGTAAGGGACGTGCCCAAAGCCAAATACCTTATCCAGAAATGCATAGATAATGGCTTCAAAATGAATAACGATAATGGGAAAAATATTCAGCCTACACAGTCGCACCTTGTGTTTGCTGAATAACAGCTAAGCCAGGGATAACATAATATTACTGATGCCCAGAAATTTCAGCAACCAAAAACTGAAAAAACTGAAACAGCAATCTTCAGTTACGCCAAAAATAGTTTTGGAGGGCCAAAATAGTAATGTTTAATTAGCGTTTGTCCGATGGCGCATTTTGACTGTCAGTGTCTATGTCGTGTATATGTATGGATAAACTAAAACAGGTAAACATATCAGCTGGAAAACAGGTAAACATATCAGCTGTGTGGGCATTATTGCTTAACAATAATGATTTATTGTTTTTAATCAATACAGATATGGATTCAAATGATGCAATGCCCTTATCAGTACAATCAAAAATGACTTAGTAATTTAAGTTCTTTTCAGCGTTATCAGGAAAAAATGCCACAAAACCCGCTGAGGCGTTTGCCAACCCCAGAGGGTTAAATCCACTGATCTATAATAGAGAACTGGATTGCTCATGACTCATATTGCTATTCCCCAGTATTCATATTCTATTGAATTAATAGGAAATCGTATGATTCTATTGAGAAAACATCACATAACACGTCAGCGTCTTTATATCTACGCAAAGGTCTTAAGCATGTACGGTTATTTGTTTAATGTCTGGAATTTTCCCTGCTTATTAAAAAGTTACGTTCATATTACAGTGGCAAACATCAGATGAACTTGATAAACATCGGATGGATGAAATCCTCAATATATATAAATCTGAATAAATATTTATGCTTTGTATATGTCACAATCTGTGATGGCGAGGAACGATGGAGACGAGGAATAAACGAAACAGTCTTTAATCCATGGAACACAGGGTACATCAACACTGGAGACATGAGGGGCCCGGAGCAGGAGGAGCCAAGCAGGACCCAGGCCACAGCCATAATGTTGACCCACGGTGGAGCCGATGGAGGGAGGAGCCATAGAGGAGGAATGGCCGCCGACTCCAGGGGGCCGACCAACGGCGGCGGAGCAGGTGGTGGAGGAGCCCGAGGCAGAGACGGAGAGCCAACGAGACAGGGGGATGCCGAGGATTCGGGGGGCCAGGGTGGAGCCGAGGGCTCTGGCGACCAAGGCGGAGACGGAGATCCGGAGATCCGCGGTGGAGCCGGAGCGACTGAGGACCAAGGTGGAGCTGGCGGGAGGAAGGAGCCCAATAGAGCCAGTGGGACGGAGCAACGAGGTGCAGCCAAAGGAGCGGAGTCCTGAGGCGATGGCAGGTCGACGCCCCTTGAGGGCACTTACGAGGAGCTGGCACTGGAGGGCGCTTTCTAGGAGCGGGCACAGGAGGGCGCTCTGGACTGGATTCGGGGACTGGAGCCCTGTCCTCTTCGCTTTGGCACTTTTGCCACGCCATACTCAGCTCACCCTCAGCCGCGGTGCGCGCTCACACCGTCCGCGGCTTTCTCCCTCGTGGCGGGCATTGTCGCCGGCTCTCGCACCTGGTCTGACGGCTTGGACTCTACTTCCGGGGCAATCCTCCGCTCAGTCGCTCGGCATTGCGCTGACTCGTAGATTGCGGTGGGAATTGGCTCTCCGTCATCGGTGGGCTCGGGCTCCCCTGCTCCAGCAGGAGGAGGAGGTATTCGGAGCGAAGAAGGGCATCCATCAGGGAACAACGGAAAAAAAAGACACTGGGTGAAAAACGAGAAAACAAACGGAGGGGAAAACACGGAGGTTTTGGTCGGTTCTTCTGTCACAATCTGTGATGGCCAGGAACGATGGAGATGAGGAATAAATGAAACAGTCTTTAATCCATGGAACACAGTATTTTATTCAGATTATTTTATTATTATTTTTTTTTGTGTCAATTCGTTATTTAAATGGTCTACAAATAAGGAAACAGGTGCAGTTAATCGCAGGCGTCAGTCATAAAGTTTATAGGCCTGGCTATATAAAAAAAATAGGCTAATCTTTGTGAGGACGACTGGCAACAGCTGGTCTTAAATCTTTAGACACCGCATACCAAACGACTTTGAACACAGACTGAAAACACTGACTGAGCTGAAATGACATTTCATAATTGGCCTGACAGTAGTGCTGGGTGAACAAGCACGAATTTACATGAGCGACATGCCCGAAACTAGGGATGCACCGATACCGATTTTCAGAACGAGTCCGATAACGATACTTTAATTTTTGGTATTCGCCGATACCGATTCCTGTATTTTCACAGCATTTGTAATTTTTTTTTTTAAATATTGGGTACAGAAACAAAATAATAGTAATAATAATAATAATAATACTGTATGAATCATGTTAGTTGGCTTCATTTAGCAAACAGATATTACTTTCAGTTATTTCCACACTTAATTATACCTGTTAAAATGTATTGTATAAGCTTTTGTTACTTTCACTGTTCATTTTAATGGCGCATTAGAGCTGCTCCATTGCAGCAGCTCAATACTGTAATCACAAAATTTTTCCTAAAATAATGCAGGGAACCACTCGTTATACATTATATACGCGCATGCTATTTTGGTGATTTGGTGTAATTTGCGTCACACGCAGTGTACACGGACCCTCATGCACGAGTAAAAACCAAATATACTTTGGCCTTAAAGCAAGCTAAACATACGCAGCGCGCACACGTTTGTGTTGGTGCAGAATGAGAGAGACACTTACAGCCTAGCGCATTTCACCCAGTCTGCTAGTTTCACTTCTGCTTTAAATAAAGTTGTGTATGCTTGACATTTAAAATAAATGCTGTTTATAATGGAGCGAACAGCAATCAAGATCATGCAACAGAAGTGAGCGCGCTCGGACTCTCTCTCTCTCTCTCTCTCTCGTGAATATTGAATGTTTAACATTATATTAATTACTTACATGTACTTCATAGACATCCTTAATCTCTAATAACTTCATTCTACTCTCTGTTGTTCTGTTTTCAGCATTTCTTTTTCTGGACACAGCTCTATTCAGATGCTGTTTGGTATCGGCTTTTGGTATCGGGGCATTTTTACGAGTATGAATACGAGTACAGGGGCGCAGTATCGGGCCAAATACCGATACCAGTATCGGTATCGGTGCATCCCTACCCGAAACAGCCTGGATAACAATCAAGAATTATGCAAAAACACATTTTATTTATTTGAGTTATTTGAGATGTTATAATAGTTCTCTAATTGTGTTAAAATAGATGAAACAATAATTATTTAAGAAATATTATATGTGTATAATAAACTGGGGGGGCTTTTCATCAGAGTGGGCGGGCCTGTGCCCATCAGGCCCGTATGCTGCCTACGACCCTGGTATACACATATTCGCCTTGTACAGTTATTCACTGTTTATGTAATTTTGGTATAGTGTTTTTATTCATATAGTATCTTAATTGCAAATGTTTCAGCAATGATTTCGTTAACAGCATTCACTTTGAAGCAGGTAATGATTTAACCGTTGGTTAAATTAATTAT